ATATGCATCATATGCAACAGATGTTCTGTGGAAGGCTTAACAACTTCTGTGGGTTAACAAGGCTTAACAACTTCTGTGGGTGTACGAACGTAGGATTAACAACTTATGTGGGTGTGTACTATGCCAGTGTAGTAGCCACGGTCGTCCGCAGGCCACGAAGTGAAGTGTCCGAACGTCATAGGGCGGGAAGCTGGGTGTGGGTGGTGGCGAAGAGTCGTGTGGATATTTGGTATAGCTTGCACTGCCCCCCCACAAAGTGGGGGTATTGGCTGGCGTCGCATGAAAACCCTGGCACTGGTGAGAACACTGAGCGTTCGGGTAAAGTGATTGTTGTTGTTGTTGTTGTTGTTGTTGTTGCTGTTGTCGCTGAGCCCTTATTTCTAAAGAATGATTATGGTTGTTCCCCCCTTCCGGGGCACATTGTGTTTCTCTTGTTTTTCTAATTGAAGCGCGCTTCCCGGGGCTCGCACTTTGTTTTTCACAAGGGGTAGCGTGTGGTCACCAAACTGGGCCCCTGGCCTCCGAGTGATAACAACAACGGCTCCCGCTTGATACTTCTTGACAGTTCATTCTCAAATCTCGCGCGGAGTTCCCCCACAGTTCACACAGGATTCGCGCTCTAGCGTGGGACTTCCTCGCTGTTTCTTCAGACGCCGCGTTCTCGACACTCAGGAGTCACGCTCTCGCTGCGGATTTCCTTACAATTTCCTTGGAAGTCGCGGTATCGCTCGAGGTTTCCTCGCGATTCATGCGGGACGCACGCTTCAGCAACTCGCAACCCGCCTGCCCCTTTTCCCTTCCATCCGTTCTTTCTTCCCCTCCTTCAGGGGCTGCACGAAATACACGTTGTAGGTTAAAGAGATAAACCCTTGACGGGGTACGGTCGAAGACGAAAAGTGCGGGGATCGAGGGTTTGGGATATACGTGATGCGTAGCACAAGAGCAGATCAGAGCGAACAGTCTTAAACTGACTGTTGCTGTTGTGGTGGTTGTGGTTGTGGTGGTGGTTGTGGTGGTGGTTGTGGTTGTGGCGGTGGTTGTGGTTGTGGTTGTGGTTGTGGTTGTGGTTGTGGTTGTGGTTGTGGTTGTGGTTGTGGTTGTGGTTGTGGTTGTGGTTGTGGTTGTCGTGGTTGTGGTTGTTGTTGTGGTTGTGGTTGTGGTTGTGGTTGTGGTTGTTGTTATTGTTGTTGTTGATCTTCGGAAGCGGTTCCGCGCGCTCTCGCTTCGACGCCGGCTACATTTTCTTTGAAAACCAGGCTCCCGCGCGAGCGTTGGGTTGAGCCTAAATGTAGGCCCTTGGAGGCCCAGTTACTGCAACAACGGCTCACGCTCGATACTTCCTCATAATTTACCCCAAGACACCCTGGCCAGAGAGGCCGCCGAATTGAGGAACGGCGCTCTCGCTCGAGGCTTCCTCTCAATTCAATCAAGCGGGCGGAGGCCCAGCCAGGACGACAAGGGCTTCTGCTTGATACTTCCTCACGATTTACTCCGAGAGCCCCTGGTCAAGAAGGCCCCCGAACTCAGGAACGGCGCTCTCGCTCGAGTTTTTTCCCTTAATTCAGGCAAGTTGGTGGAGGCCCGGACACGGCGACAAGGGTTCCCGCCTGATATTTCTTCATAGGTATTCCGAAAGCCCTCGGTCAGGGAGGCCACCGAACTCAGTAACGGCGCTCTCGCTCGAGGCTTCGTCTCAATTCAATTAAGTGGGCGGAGGCCCAGCCAAGACGACAAGGGCTTCTGCTTGATACTTTCTCACGATTGCTCCGAGAGCCCCTGGCCAAGAAGGCCCCCGAACTCAGGAACGGCGCTCTCGCTCGAGACTTTTCCCCTAATTCAGGCAAGTTAGTGGAGGCCTGGACACGACGACCAGGTTTTCCGCTTGATATTTCTTCATAGGTATTCCGAGAGCCCCTGGCCAGAGAGCCCCCCGAACTCAGGAACAGCGCTCTTGTTCGAGACTTCCTTGCACTTCAGCCGGTGGCACACAAGGAAGGGATTCCCCCCGAAAGGGGGTGCAATCGAAGACGATAGTGGGTGGGTTTCGAGGGTTGGGGTATACGGAATGCAAGACATGCGTGCCAATAAGAACGATCAGTCTTAAACTTATTATTATTGTTGTTGTAGTTGCTATTTTTTTTTGTTTTTGTTTTTGTTGTTGTTGTTGTCATTGTTTTTGTCGTTGTTGTTGTTCTTGTTGTTTTGTTGTTGTTCTTGTTGTTCTTGTTGCTCTTTGACTCGGTGGACACGTGCGCTGGCGGCCCGGCCCCCCCCCCACACTAACCAACACCGGCACCCCAACAGACCCCCAGGATCGGAAGGAATTCCTGAGGCTTCTAGGGATTCCTGCAGGATCCCTTGGGCTTCTCGAAGGAAGCCTGACGGTTTCTGAAGGATTCTTGAAGGATTTCTGAGGGGATGCTTCAAGGGTTCCCAGACAGGACTCCCGAAGGATCCCGGTTGGATTCCAGAGGTTTCCCAAAGTTTCCTGAAGGATTCCTGAATATTCTTATTCGGTTTCCTGACGGATTTCTGCGGGTTCCTGGCAGATTTCGGTGGCTTCCTGAAAGATGTCGGGGAATTCCCGAGGATTCCTTGCGACTCCTGAAGGTTTCTTGGTGTCCTGCATGTTCCTTGAAGTTTTCTTGAGGTCCTCTGAGATTCCTCAGGATTCCTGAAGCCTGAAGGATTGCTGACCGATTTTCAGAGATTCCTGAAGGAAGGATCGGGTCCCCACGGATTTTTATGGGTTCCACCGGATTCCTGCGGATTCCTAACGTCTTGTGGTTTCTGGAGGATCCCTTAAGATTTCTGAGGCTTCTGGAGGATTCCTGCGGATTCCTGAGGATGCCTGAGGGTTTTTGAGGATTCCTGAAGGATTCCTGGAAGATCCTTGAACGATCCTCGAAGGATCTTTGAAGGATTCCTGCAGGATTCTTGATAATCCCTGATGACTCCTAAGGGTTCCCGACGGATCCATGAATATTCCTGTTGATTCTCAACGGGCGTCTTAACGATCCTTGAAAGATTCTGGCAAGATTCCTGAGGTCTCCTGAAGGAAGGAGTCTGAGAGAGAGTCCTGAGGGTCCTGAAGGATGTCGGAAGGTTCCTTGAGGATTCCCAACGGATACGTGTAGGAACGTAGAGGATTCCGCAAAGGTCCCAGAGGGTTCTTGAACATTCTTCAGCATGCCCACAGGATTCCTGGGGCACTGTTTGAAGATTCCTGGGAGATTCCAGAGGATCGCTCGGGCGTGTGCATTTTTTCGGGGGCGAGGGCCATCGAGGAACATCCTGGATCATCTTGCGGAACGCACACGTGCGACATCGAAACATGCACGGGGAATTGGATGTTCAGGCGAAGCTGGAGACCCCCAGGGGACGTTTCCAAGGCCTCCAGGGTTTCTCGGAGACCTCCACACGAGGTCCCATGGAGATCTCAAGGATGGAGGGAGAGCGTGTGGGGGAGGGAGGAGGGCTCGAGGTTCGAGGAGGCTCGCCAGTCGTTGAAGTAAGTATTTTTGGACTCGCAGATCCCAATCTACTTTAAAGTCGCCTTCCTTCTTCAGGAATCGATGTGCGTCTGCTGCGTTTTGGAGTTCTCTGAAAGCCCCCGAACCCCATCTGCTTTAACCGCCTTATCGGTTCATGTTTTTACCTGCTTCTTCCGACTGGCGTGCCGGGTCCTGTCGGGATGCTGTTTGGCTTGGGGTGGTCTTGTGGAGCGCCCTCGCCGACGCGGCTGGACCAGCCTCGAAGCTTTGGCTGGAACGCGCGCCAGGGCCGACCTGGGGGTCGAGTCTGATCGTGACCCCAGCTCTTCACCACCCACCAAATCACCCCAACCCAACCCGAAGCCCTCAATTTGCCCTCCATTTCCAGTGTGTGTGGGGGGGTCCGGGAACATCGAGAAAACACATATGGAGCCCATACGCCCCCAACCCGAAAGTCGGGTTTCCGGGTTGGGTTGGGGTGGTTTGGTAGGTAGTCAGGGGGTCGAGTCTGATAGTGACCTCAGACCTCTGTCCTCACGGAACACCGCACAGGAGGCCAGTGCTCATATTTCCGGGCCTCCGGAGGCCCGCTTCGGTCGAAGAGCTGCTCGGCACGCAAGACGCCAGTTCTCCGGGATGGTGTCGAGATGCCCGAGGGGCCACGTGACGAGGAGGTGTTGGGAGGGAGCAAACACACACACACAGACACAATCAGTCGTCGATTCCCAGGAAGGTATGGGAACACATGGGAAGTGTGGGGCAGGGCGAAGCTCAAGAAGACATGGGCAAACATGGGAAATCCTGTGATTGGTGTGTGTGTGTGTTCATTTGTGTGTCCCTGGGCCTCTTCAAGGTGTCGGATGTGTGGGCGCATCTCAGGGGCCCGTCGCGGGCTGCAGTCGGCCGCTGCATAACACCTGCTTTCCAAAAGGGGCTCGGCCGTTCCTTAGGTCTGCGTGCGCTCCGCTCCGTTTTCGGCGGCGAGCCCCACCCCGGTGTTCCCTCCGACTTCATGGACATGTTTGGAAAAGAGGGGCCTCGTTCCTGATGTACCGTTCCTTAGGTCAGCGGCCCGACTGTATTGCAGCTCGCGGCGAGGACACTGTTAATTGAGCGGGAGGCCGCATCCTCCGTGGGCCTCCGCAGGGTGCTGTCGGTTCCCGAATTTCGCTGCCATGGCGTGGACAGCAGCGAATTCCTGCAAATTTCCACCCTCCGTTCATCTCTCTCTCTCTCTCTTTTCCCCCTCTCTCTCCCCCTCTTTCCTCCTCCCTCTCCCTCTGTGCACCACTCCTCGCTCCTTCCTCCCTCTCCTCGCAACTCCCTTTCCACTTGGTCCCTATCCCACTGCTCCCACCTCCGTGCTCCCCTTGCCCCCCTCCCGCACTCTGCACCCTCCTCCTTCTCCCCTTTCCTCCTCCCTCGCACATCCCGACCCCACCGATCACAGTTCGAATAGCGGGCCGTCGGGGGAAGGACGAGCATCAGACGCTAAGTTCTCTTGAGGACCGGCGGATTTCACCGACACCAGGCCAGCCGAGGTACCCAAGTCTAAGTGGCATCCGAAGTGGATGCGCTTTATTGGAGAAGAAGAACCTGAAGAGGTTAAACCTGTCACACCCTCCGTGAAGCTTCTACCACAGATGAAAGCGAGTACAGTTGAAATTCTCCGTGTGGCGTTATTCGATGAATTGAAGCAAACTATCACATTGAACCGCCAGAACGCAGGCATGGATACTGTGTGGGCTCACCAATCCGATTTCGTAAACTCCCTTGAAATATTTCTGGACATTTGGGAGTTATGGATGCAATTAGACATTGATATGGACCCAGTCCAGAACATCTTTAAAGATGCCGTTGCCGACTACAAGAATGGCCTGTTCACGCGAGAGGAGAACGCGATTCAGTCGAGCGAGGGACAATGCAAGATGAAGCCAGGTGTCAAAGGTCAAGATGATGACAACGGCCAGGATGATGACAATGGTCAGGATAAAAATGTCGACGGACCTGACGGAGAGCTGGCATATTTCCAAACATTCATGTTGCACACATTTCGAGATGATTTCAGCAAGCGGTATTGTAATATCTATGGCACGCCGCATTCTGGAGGTGAGCATCAGACTTCTGGAGGCAAGAATCCAATTCTAAAGGACCAAGAGGATGTTATGCATGAGCTCAGAAAGAAAGTTGAGCTTCACAGGAAGTCGAACTTTAAAACGTTGGTCAAGCGTGGATTCAAGTTTGAAGGATTCCCAGTCAACTTCTCGAACCCCGAACCTGAGAACGTTCGGCTGCATCTGATGAGATTAAAGGAATTTCAAGAATACCTCACAGACCCGAACGATTATATCGTGCACACCGTCGTCTGCAAGCTGTATCCCTTACCTGCGAAATTGCTCTCGAGTTGGGTCTACATCGGCATTCAGAAGCCGGTTCCCTTAGAAGACGAGTAACCAGATGATTGCCAGTGAGAGGTTTGACCGTTTCTTGTATCCGTTTTCCGCCTCCAGTGTTCGCGCCACTGTGGGAGCACGCCGTGCAGAGTAGCCTCCTTCGTTTGAGCCGATACCGTTGTGCTGTCGTATGTTACCACGGGCCGTGCTCCTTTATGACTTCGGTCCTCTGCCCCTCTCCTCCTATGTTTAGCCAAGCGGTTGACGCCGACCCTCAGAAGGAGTCAGGGCAGAGCCAGCGACGACTGTGGAAGTTCCCCAGTGGCCTTTGGCCCAACCCGCCGCCGTGCCTGGGCTGTGGGTAAGGAGCCTCTTGGATGAATCAGAGGGTCTCTTGGGATGCCTCTCGGGGGCCTCCTGGAGCGCTCTTGGGTGCATCGGGGAGGCTTGCTGGGGCCTCTCTTGAGCGCCTCTTGGGGACTTCTCGGGAGCGTCTTGGAGGCCTCTTGGGGCCTCTTGGGGTTGCATCGGGTGCCTCTGGAAAGTTCTTGGGGCCATCCTGCGGGGAACGGCTCGAAGTATCAGTTCGTGTTCCTCCTCTTGGGGCTTTTCCTTTGGGGACGTGGCGATTTTTGCCTCTTGGGGCCCTCTCGGCGTTCCTCTGGGAACACTTCTTGGCTGTCTTGGGGGCCTTGTGGGCTGTCTTGAAGTCATCCTGGGTCGTCGTGGGGCTACTCTGGGCCGTCTCGGCGCTCTCTTCGACTGTCTTGGCGCACTTTCTGAGCCCTCTTGGGGCTTTCTGGAGGCTCTGGAGGCCCCTGGGGTGCGTTGGCGAGCTCGTAACCCCATCCCCTGCCCCCCTCTACTTGGATGTTATACAGAAGAGAAGGGGGAAGGCGGAGGGGGACAGCCAAGTGTCTCACACGCATTTTCACCCCTGGCACGCGGGGGACGGCGCATTGTCTCACCCGCGCGCTTGTGGCTTGGTTATTGATGCGGGTCGTTCTCCGCAAGTGTGGTCAGATCCATGCAGTGTTGCGCTCCTGATCTGCAGGGCGGCCTTCCCCTGGCATTCTGACCCTTGCTGTACCGGCAAGGGCTCCCTCGAGGGCGCGAAGTTATTCGCGCTTCGCGCTTCGCGGTCCTCGTTCCTTCTCCTCCTCCTCCTCGTCCTCCTCTTCTCCCCCTTGGGGGGCGGCGCGAGAGCGCGAAGTTATTCGCGCTTCGCGCTTCGCGCAGCGCGAAGCGCGAACTTAGGAGGCTCCCGAGGCCCAGCCTTCGCGCGCGGAACACGCGAGGCGACTGTCTGTCGGAGCGCTCCGTGCCGAAGAGCTCGGCCATCGCTCTGCGCCCTGTGATGCAGGACGGCGCGGCGCGCTAAACGACGGGACGGCGCGGTGCTCCACACGGGCACTCGCCTTGGGGGCGCCTTGCATTCAGCCGTGCCTCCCAGCAGGCCACGAAGGGTGGCGACGGTTGTGCAGTTCGCAGCCCCCGAGGGAGCCGCGAGGTCTTCAAAGGTCTCAAATGGATCGGCGCTGCCCTCACCTGCGCCGTGCCTCCCAGGAGGCCACGAAGGTGGCGACGGTTGCGCAGTTCGCAGCCGCCCCCGAGGGAGCCGCAAGGTCTCAAATGGATCGGCGCTGCCCTCACCTGCGCCGTGTCTCTCTGGAGGCCACGAATGTGGCGACGGTTGCGCAGTTCGCAGCCCCCGAGGGAGCCGCGAGGTCTCAAATGGATCGGCGCTGCCCTCACCTGCGCCGTGCCTCTCTGGAGGCCACGCAGGTGGCGACGGTTGCGCAGTTCGCAGCCCCCGAGGGAGCCGCGAGGTCTCAAATGATCGGCGCCGCCCTCACCTGCGCCGTGCCTCCCAGGAGGCCACGAAGGTGGCGACGGTTGCGCAGTTCGCAGCCCCTGAGGGAGCCGCGAGGTTTCAACAGTCTCGAATGATTGGCGCTGCCCTCACCTGCGCCGTGCCTCCCATGAGGCCACGCAGGTGGCGACGGTTGCGCAGTGCGCAGCCCCCGAGGGAGCCGCGAGGTCTCAAATGGATCGGCGCTGCCCTCACCTGCGCCGTGCCTCCCAGGCGGCCACGAAGGTGGCGACGGTTGCGCAGTTCGCAGCCCCCGAGGGAGCCGCGAGGTCTCAAATGATCGGCGCTGCCCTCACTGGCGCCGTGCCTCCAAGGAGGCCACGAAGGTGGCGACGGTTGCGCAGTTCGCAGCCCCTGAGGGAGCTGCAAGGTCTCAAATGGATCGGCGCTGCCCTCACCTGCGCCGTGCCTCTCTGGAGGCCACGAAGGTGGCGACGGTTGCGCAGTTCGCAGCCCCTGAGGGAGCCGCGAGGTCTCAAATGGATCGGCGCTGCCCTCACCTGCGCCTCCCAGGAGGCCACGAATGTGGCGACGGTTGCGCGTAGTTCGCAGCCCCTGAGGGAGCCGCGATGTCTCAAATGAATCGGCGCTGCCCTCACCTGCGCCGTGCCTCCCAGGAGGCCACGAATGTGGCGACGGTTGCGCAGGTCGCAGCCCCTGAGGGAGCCGCGAGGTCTCAAGTGATCGGCGCTGCCCTCACCTGCGCCGTGCCTCTCTGGAGGCCACGAAGGTGGCGACGGTTGCGCAGTTCGCAGCCCCCGAGGGAGCTGCGAGGTCCAAATGGATCGGCGCACGAATGTGGCGACGGTTGCGCAGTTCGCAGCCCCCCAGTAGGAAACGTACGAGCAAGGCAGGCAAGGAGACAGGAGGCAGGCGGAGGGGGGGAGAGAGCGGGCGGAAGGTTGCGAGAACAGTGCTCTAGTCAAAACGAGAACCGACCACAGGAGGATTGGGGAAATTTGTGCCATACTATGCAGCGGTGTGCCAGGTCGGTTCGTATGCTTTGATCCAAGATGTCTACGGCGAGATGCCAGCGCCCCCAAGCCTTTTGGACACGCCTTTTTCGGCCAGATGTTTCAGGAATGTTGCAATAGGGAGTATGCGCTTGCGTGACAGGGTTTACCACTGCATACCCTGACCTGTTGCCGCAACGACTGGGGAAAACATCGGGCGGGGATCCGCAGCGGTGCCCTCAACGCAGGACTTTGGTTACCCATGATCGGAAAGAGCGCTACTGGTGGACCCTCTAGTTGTAAAGGAGGATTATCTGCACATAACTTTGCCTTCTTCTTTTTCTGTTCTTGATCCTACCCTCCCGTCGAGGAAACTTAAACATGAATCAAGGCGCGTGGATTAGCGACGGATCGGGCTGCCATGCGTCAACCGACACGCGCCGTCAACAACCCAGGCAGGCGGTGTTATCCTCCCCCCCGCGCCCATGTGCCAGATCCGCAGATCTGTAATCCATCTTGGGGGTCCGGTGGACCCTGGAATCCAGAGCTTGGAGCCCTGACCTCGGGGCCAGATGCGAACCCTACAGCTACCCCTCACGATTTCCGAGGGGGAGGGTGGGGTTCACTTCGCTCGCGAGCTTCCGAACGAAGCGAACCCCACCCTCCCCCCCAGGAATCCTGGGGGGTAGGGGTAGGGCTCGCATGCGGTCCCCTAGGTTGGGATTCCGCACCTCGCTGATCACAGATGCATCGAGTCGCATGATCATTGGTGAGATAATCAAGCTTTGCTGAGGTCGTAAAAAAAAAAAAAAAAAAAAAAAAAAAAAAAACCTCGGAGCTCGGAGCACGACCCTCCGGAGGTCGGGGTCGTGTGCACCCCGGGGCGGGCGCCCCTCGCCGCCCGCCGCCCGTCGCCGCCCGTGGCCGCCGCCACCGCACGTGGCCGCCCGTGGCCGTGGCCGCATCGCACGCACTGCACCGCGTGGGTTGCACTGCACGGGTTGCGTCGCACACGGCCCCACACACGTGTGTATGCAAGGGCTCCCTCGAGGGCGCGAAGTTATTCGCGCTTCGCGCTTCGCGGTCCTCCTTCCTCCTCCCCCTCCTCCTCGTCCTCCTCTTCTCCCCCTTGGGGGGGCGGCGCGAGAGCGCGAAGTTATTCGCGCTTCGCGCTTCGCGCAGCGCGAAGCGCGAACTTAGGAGCCCTTGTGTATGCACCAGCCTGGCACGGGGGGGGCTCTGCACGACGGGGTCGATGCACGTGTAAAGGCGTGCGCCCGTGGAGCAATTGTATCACACTGCCTGATTCGAGCTCTGCGCGTTTCACTCTGACGCTGGGCGGGTGGATTGTCAGGTGGCTGCGTTCTCCTTCTCCGAGGGAAAAATACATGTATTCACCAGCCTCGAACTTATCCCTATCC